CCCACCGAATTTTGGGTCTGCCATTGCTCAATGCTTAACAGTACTCTATGAAAACCTTTAATTGATATACATTTTTGTTAAAAAATCGATCTCCAAGAATATATTAAGGCAGAATGCCTACTCTTGTGTTTTTTTCACTTGACATGTATGCATATTTTAGTGTGCATAGAAGTGACAATATTAATCGAGTTTGTATCTGCCAACAGTATATGACTATCAACATGAGTTTTCAATGGCAATTCAAGTTATTAGCGGTTTACACATTTCGCCATTAAAACAAATATACTTAAATGCAGTTTCCTCATATGTTACTGATCAGAATTTTGATATATTGAGATACTAGTATATAATAATGGGAAATAATAGTAAAATTCCCACGGTGACCCAATATTTTTTATCTCATTTTTATCTCATTTTATCTCATCTCATCGGGAGTATCGACCGATGCGCAGCGGAGATCGATGCGACGGCGTACTGTCTGAGTATTAATATTTTTTATTATACATTTGTTACCGTAACGCCATCAGTTACAGCGTGCCGTAATTTTGCGGCATTTTACAGGGTATTTTCATCCTAGTACATGTATATTAGGAAATGCGAATTCCAAACATGGAATGATTACGCGTGTAAGCGTCCTCTAATAATAAAAACAAACATGGCTCCACACAAAAAAGTTCGCTGATTCTGTTCTAAACATTTTGGATTTCGGCATTCTCATGATGTATCATTGAAAGGAAAAAATGTATAATAATAAGGTTATTACGAGGATACCTCAAAGTATGCACTCAGACAGTACGCTGTCGCATCGACCTCTGCATCGGTCGATACTTTCACTGTACTGTCTTTTAGCTTTCGCTTGTGCTCTTTCTATTTCCCTTCTTTAGCATTGTAGTAGTAGTGTGAGCTAATAGGTTCACTCAGGCAGTACACCGTCGCATCGACCTCCGCTGCGCGTCGATACTCTCGCTGTACTGTCTTCGTTCATACTTTGAGGTATCCTAGTAATAACCTCATAGTATGTGCTTCTAAAATAACAACCATGGTAATTTACGAACAACTGTGGTCCAGAGTATGCAGCATTGTCTTTTATAAACGAATTAAATGTAAAGTTCCCTCCATGACACCCCGATGACATGCCTACTTACAGGTGAGTACCTCGGGGTTTTCAATCAGGCGATTGATCTACCACTTAATCTATAGATTGATCGATCAACCAATGATTAATTTGTTAAATTTAGTCCAATATGACAATATACTGATTGGATGATTTCCTAGTTTTGCCTAAGATGCGACTACCAGTGTTACGTCATTCATAGAACATTACTATCACGTAAGGCATGAAGCACGAGGCCTTCGTTATTCATAGAATACTATTACGTCATTCATCGAACACGGACATGTCGTCATTCATAGAACAGAACTATTGCGTCATTCATATAACACCACGACTGCACCATTTATATTACAGTACTTCGTTAGTCGTTGAATATTACGTCATTCACACATGACTACTACGTCATTCAAAGAACACGATTACAGACGCCATTCATGCAACATTACTAACACGGCTATTACGTAATTTTTAGACCTGGGAAATTTTTTTGCTATCACGTATCTCTATTTTTTATGGAAAAAAATATCACAGAAGAATTCAAGACGCTTATCAATGAATGCAACAGAGTAAAGGAAACCGCGTACTGTCCTTACAGTAAGTTTCGAGTTGGATGCGCAGTACTGACAGAAGATGGAAAAGTCTACGCAGGTCAGTCGAAATATAAATCTATATTTTTTATAATACTTAGACATTCCACCTAATATCAAAGTACCCAAATTAGCTACAGGGGGTCAAATTCACCAATTACAAACAGAAAACTGTTAGATTTCCATGAAACGCACCGAATATTGTAGTAGTCTATCCATCGGTGATTGGCAAATCAGAACAGTCCTCTCATTGCTCCACCCACCGTGAACCATACTCATTTTAACATATCATTTTAAAATATTGGACAATTATTGCCATATAATTGAAATTTAATTTTTTTCAGGAAGTAACATTGAAAATGCTAGTTACGGTTTAACAATCTGTGCAGAGAGAGCAGCTCTCGCTAAGGCCATCACTGAGGGACATCGGAAATTTAAAGCTATGGCATTAACAACGTAAGTAGGATCCTAACAATACTCTAAATTGTACAACCAGAAAGAGTTTAGTGGGCAAAGACATCACTGACGTTGAAAGCAAAACATACTGCGTCAGGATACTATACAATCTGATTAAAATAAGATCCTAGTTTGGGCTTTTTTTGTTCTTTTTTTTTTTTTGTTAAAATAATATCATTAATATTTTTTTCATATATTCTATTAGCCCAAACCAGGATCTTATTTTAATCAGATTGGATACTATATTCAAACGCGTCAAAGAGTCGTCACATAGCGTGTGTTCTAATTCCGTGTAAACATCGCATTTTACATGCTATATAGAAGATAATATTTGGTAATCGTAGTCCTAAATAACTATTAAAAATAGCTAGTCGTTTCGAGCAATGGCTCTTTATCGATAGCATAGAAGAAAATGTTTTACATGCGTTGTATACGTCGAACGGGAGCCGTATCGAACTGGGCGCGGCGCGTGTCGCAACGTTCGCGCTCTGATACTAGTATCTTACCGCGTTTTACTTTTTTTATTCGACGTTCATTTATTTGGAAATTTTTCTGTGTCTTGATGACCCGCTACAGCAAACTTGGACATAAAATATAGTTTCCCCGATTTTTTTTCTAGAGATCTAAACGAATTCACAACCCCATGTGGAGCATGCAGGCAATTTATTGTGGAGGTGAGTTTCATTATCGAAAATTATATTTGGGAATCTTTTGTACCACATTTGTATATTCGCCTCTGTGACATCAATATGACGTAGATAGATATCAAGTGTCACTATAGGAACGATGTATTTGCAATTCCATTTGAAATATAAGACGTTAAAGCGCGGTGGTCGTCGCGCAGCCCGTGTTCGAATTGCATGTAAATAAACAATGTATTTTACACGCGTTGTATACGTCGCTATGAGTCCCATATCGAACAGGGCGCGGCACGACGTTGTAATGTGAACATTTATAAAAATCAGCGTGTATGTTGGTGGTCAGGCTGAGCACATTGTTTTTTAACACCAACCAAACTCATTCTCGTTTCAGTTTGGAAAGTACGATCTGTACATGGTAAAACCTGATTTAAGCTACGAGAAATACAAATACGATTTGTTACCAATGGGGTTTGGACCATCAGACCTTGCGGCGGAGAGGGTCGGACAGTAATGGAACGACCAGCAGACCTTGCGGTGGAGACTGTCGTAGTCAAGTTGTGTGCTATATCAGGAATTATACTATATCAGTCGAAGAGGACATTTCCAAGTTCATCTCGAGCAAAATGAATATATCTCGAGCAGAATATTTTGTTTTTGAATGCCTCGGTGCACTAAACGAGGACCTAGTCAGGGCTAATCGCCTGTCGGGGTAGACAAAAAATTGGCAAAAATTCCCTTCAAAAACAGGCAGCATAAATTCCCTGGACAACCAATTTTGCAGGTTGTCAGGGGAAAAGTATATATACCTTTTCCAATATGTTCCGTGTTGTAATAATTTTAGTGTACCAACGCGATCTGAAGCAAAATATCCCGATCGACGGGTAGTCCTGTGTGTATTTGGACGATGCGATTTTAATAAAATTATAAGATAGGGTATACACAGTTTTAAATGTTTATGTAATATATAAAATATTTATCGCGATATTATTATTATGTATTATCGAAACTGGTGATTAAAGAAATTCGCTGTTGAAGAAAATATTCACTTCATTTCTGAAACCATCTGGCTGACGTCCGGTCAGTTATTTCATTTTCAGAATTAGGTAGATGTAAATTTATCATCAAATGTATTAATAAAGAAAAACAATGATTTGTGCACGCTAGTAAATTACTATCAAATACCAGTAGACTGTTTCTAGAATATTAAACGAACATAAAACACGAAATCGCAGAAGAGTGTATTTTTTGATGTATGTTATGTTTTAGCTACATTTATCAAAGTGTAACATTGCGTAATGGAGTGATCAACTATAATTTTCTAATTATTTCATTTTCCGATGCTTTATTGGGACCCTTGCTTTGGAACGAATTGGACTGGACTGGAATTTGTTTACGATTTTTTTTATTTTTTTTCCCCTAATATTCTGTCGTTATTACGAAGACCCGAATACATACCCAGTCTATAAATACTCGCAATATGTGCAAGTAAAATCATGTTGCTGTGAAAGGGGGTCTTTGTTTAGCATTTAGTCAACGTATTTCCACAGGGCATCCCAGGAACTATTAGTGGCATCATTAAAAATATAGTATAATAACTGAAACCATACATTTCTATAAAAAAAACGAAACGATATGCCACTGGCTAAAACGTATATGCAGGCATGGGAGTGCTGCTGGTCATGTACATCTCTTAACACAGGGGACCGGTTACCACCCCTAACCACGCACATTCATCAGTGTGATATCGTTTATAATTCCATAGAATACTGCGCTAAGGAAAAATGATATATTTTGATATTTTTTAAAAGCCCAGATTTTTTAAATACTTCTGGATAACAAAAAGTACTCTATCATTAACAATATGTTTTTCCATCCCATCGAAGTTACCAACCTACAATTTAAAGCGGAAGGGTTGTCACCTGCGCATGTGCGGTCCCAAGCGACGATAACATCACATGCTAACACGAAAAGGTTATACACATAGCACTGAAACGGCTCTTTTGCGGGTCGCTAACGATGTACTATGCAGTATTGATAATTATAAGTATTCAGTTGCTCTCGTACTTTTGGATCTTTCAGCCGCTTTTGATACTGTGAATCACAGGATTCTCATCGATAGGTTGAGATCAAATTTTGGTTTAAATGGTCTCATCATTAAATGGTTTGAGTCGTATTTGAGTAACCGCATTCAAAAAGTGAAAATTGGAAATGTATTTTCTGATATGACGTCTATATTAGAAACCGGTGTTCCACAGGGCTCCGTTTTAGGGCCATTATTGTTCTCAATGTACATGCGTCCATTGGGTGAGTTATTGCGACGTCACGGTGTAAAATATCATTTTTACGCGGATGACACACAAATTTATTTATCGGTTTCTGAAGATGATCAAATTCGCGCCCGGGTGATACTTCAGACATGTATTCAAGATGTTAGCGATTGGATGTCTTGTAATTTCCTACTTTTG